TAAGATGGTTATAATGATAACTGTCATGTGATAATAATGAAATTAGAAGTAGATACAATGAAAGAGGTTTATAGAGTTTCTTTCTTTCAGAGGAAGAGGGGGATTCAGTACATGATTCTCTTTCTTAGATCTGCCTTACGTGGAGAGAATCTCTCTGGATCCCAACAGGGTAGTCAGTGCTCATTTATTGTCTGTAATTTCATAGACACGTATTGAGTAAACTTCCTTTCTGGTACTATGGCAGGTACTGGGACTGTAGCAAGGAAGCAGTCAGATATGAGCCCTATCCTCATGGAGCCTGTATAGTCTAGCAGTGTTTTTGACATTAAAGCCAGTATGGGAATAGGAAAGTATAGTGAAAAATGGGAGTGTTTAACTGCATAGGAGGATGTTGTGCCCACTGGATTCTGGATTCTGCCAACTTCTCTTTAAAATTTTCTTTATGAGGATGGAACGAAGTTCCAAAAATGAAGGTAGACTTACCAGAATGCATGCCTTAAAAATGAGTAGGGTTAGAGCATAATGACTGAAGGTGAGGTTTCCTGACTTAGAAGACAATTTGGTGAACAACCTTCCCATGGTAGCTCCAGATTCTGAATCCTGTTCTCGTCTGAGCCTGTTCAACTGGTTTTCTAATCCTTCCTCATTCACCTTCTCTTACCTTAAGAACTCCGGAAGTCTTAGCCTTGGGTCACTGAGGGAAGGGGCGAAAGAGCAGAGGAAATGGCAGAACACCAGAAGCTAATTCCTACAGCGTAGGATCCTGTGCTTTGGAATTTGTAGCTTGCGAGTGTGTGTGAGCCTGCACCCGGGCAAATGTATGAGGACGCCGGAGATGAGGCAAGCATGGTAGACGACTCGGTAGGCGATGTTAATGGGTTTCAGATAACAACAAGCTAAATCAGTTTGATTGCACACGTATAATACAAATTATGATCGTTTATGTGGATGCTTACTGTTTATTCCCAATGTCCGAGATGTATTTATGTATGTTCTTATGAAGTATTATATTTAGAAAATTTTATTTCTTCTAATTTTTGTGTGCTTTATTTTGCTTAGAATACATACTGGTAACATGCCCCAGTCACTTGCTAAACTACCATAATAAGAGAATGGATACTTGTCATATGTTAATTATATTTTTCTTTCTTAGAGGTCAAGGGCACTTAGTGTGGTATATTCCATACTTGAATTTTTATTTGAACGGGTCTCCCCAAAATAAGCATAATAGGGTAAAATTTCAGGTTGTGTTGCTGGGTAGTGGAGGAGTTATTTTGGGGAAGACAGGCATGTCAAAATTCCAGATTTCTGTCTCTGACAACAACTTTCTGTTTGACAGTTCTCTCACAGTTTTAGTTTTAGTGTGTTCGTTATTTGCCACTATATTGAGATTTTTTTCTTTCTTATCAGTTTCGTGTCCTCATAGCCCAGCACTTTGACCCTTGCTTTATATGTCTTTCCTTTGTTATTGCATCAGAATTACTCTACGATTACGTTACAGTCAAGCTACTAAGTATTGCTCGCAATCAATCAGTGCAACTTCACCTAATTATGCTGACAGGAGCTCCTTAAAAATACTAGCTTTTTATCAGACACTCTTTCCCTGTGGGCCTGTTATCAACTCCCATTTCCAAAATTCTTATCAATTCCTCAAATCTCTTCTCCTGCCTCTTCCTTCTCATGCTCAGCAAATGATGCCGTCTCCTATTTACCTAACAAAATTAAAAACCATCAGCCAATACTTTTTTTTGAGACAGAGTCTCACTTTGTCACCCTGGCTAGAGTGCAGTGGTATCATCTTAGCTCACTGCAACCTCAAACTCCTGGACTCAAGTGATCCTCCTATCCCAGCCTCCCGGGAAGCTGGGACTACAGGTCTGTGAGCCCCCACACCCGGGTAGCCAATACTTTTTAAATTTCTGTGCATTTTATCCATCTTTTCTTCATTTGTTATTGTCCCAGTGGAAGTGGTTTCTTTCCTCCTAGAACCTGTTCTGTGATGTGTGCTACTTGTTCTTTCAATCCTTCCTCTCTTTTCCTCTCTCTTCAGCATCTCGTTCTTTTTTCCCTTTTTCTTCAGTATTGAAACATATCTGAGGACCTACATTAAAAGAGCCCTTTCTTGACCACATCCCCTGATAATGACCACTTATGTCTCTTCTTTCATTCCTAGATGAGCTTCTTTAACAAAATACTTAAATTCAATATTTCCACTTCCTCCCCTCAAAATGTATTTTTAAAGTATTAAATACATAATACTTCCTGTCAATTTATTGCTCTATCAATTACCTGCATGTTAAACCAAATAGTCACTTTTCATCCTTAACTTTCTTTTTTTTTTGAGACAGAGTCTCACT